AGTCAGTCTGAGGGGCGGTGCAGGTCAGCCAGCCAGTCAGTCTGAGGGGCGGTGCAGGTCAGCCAGCCAGTCAGTCTGAGGGGCGGTGCAGGTCAGCCAGCCAGTCAGTCTGAGGGGCGGTGCAGGTCAGCCAGCCAGTCAGTCTGAGGGGCGGTGCAGGTCAGCCAGCCAGTCAGTCTGAGGGGCGGTGCAGGTCAGCCAGCCAGTCAGTCTGAGGGGCGGTGCAGGTCAGCCAGTCTGTCTGAGGGGAGGTGCAGGTCAGCCAGTCAGTCTGAGGGGCGGTGCAGGTCAGCCAGTCAGTCAGTCTGAGGGGCGGTGCAGGTCAGCCAGTCAGTCAGTCTGAGGGGCGGTGCAGGTCAGCCAGTCAGTCTGAGGGGCGGTGCAGGTCAGCCAGTCAGTCTGAGGGGCGGTGCAGGTCAGCCAGTCAGTCTGAGGGGCGGTGCAGGTCAGCCAGTCAGTCTGAGGGGCGGTGCAGGTCAGGCAGTCAGTCAGTCTGAGGGGCGGTGCAGGTCAGGCAGTCAGTCAGTCTGAGGGGCGGTGCAGGTCAGCCAGTCAGTCTGAGGGGCGGTGCAGGTCAGCCAGCCAACTAAATATATCCAATTAACCTACTTACCATATACATAGGTCACAACAAGACACTCAATTATTCCGACAACAACCATTGGAAGTGCTGATGCATACGTATCCATCAAATTCACCCAAAAAAGCCCAGCCTGTTAAGAAATATGCATATGGGATATTGATTCAATACTTAATAATGTCATCGATATATATGTAAATTATATGCAGATTGTTGTTCAGTTTGACCAATCAGAATGTACAACATGCGCGTGCCTAGAGGCTAAAGGATATACACGTGGTACCAATGACGTAATGAATACAGATAACATTCTTACCCTGGTCACGTGGGGTAATCCAACGATGAATGCGCATGTGCAATACAAGATGGGTAAAACAGTTCGCATCACTTTACGTTTTCGTGATAAACATTTGAATTCATCCAGTAAAGCTGTAATCACCGTTTCAACAATTACAAACTGTGAATACAGAATCATACATTAAGCTATACAGGTGGGAACGTTGTAAGATACCCTGAAAGGTGTTATTTACAAATAGAGAGTAGTGAAATATTAGTAAGATACTACTACACGCATTACATTTAGACAGTAATGTAGTAAGATACTACTACACGCATTACATTTATAGACAGTAATGTAGTAAGATACTACTACACGCATTATATTTATAGACAGTAATGTAGTAAGATACTACTACACGCATTACATTTAGACAGTAATGAAGTAAGATACTACTACACGCATTACATTTAGACAGTAATGTAGTAAGATACTACTACACGCATTACATTTATAGACAGTAATGTAGTAAGATACTACTACACGCATTACATTTATAGACAGTAATGTAGTAAGATACTACTACACGCATTACATTTATAGACAGTAATGTAGTAAGATACTACTACACGCATTACATTTAGACAGTAGTGTAGTAAGATACTACTACACGCATTACATTTACAGACAGTAGTGTAGTAAGATACTACTACACGCATTACATGTATAGACAGTAATGTAGTAAGATACTACTACACGCATTACATTTACAGACAGTAGTGTAGTAAGATACTACTACACGCATTACATGTATAGACAGTAATGTAGTAAGATACTACTACACGCATTACATTTACAGACAATGTAGTAATACATTTAAGGGAATAAATAAACACAAACTTACCATTGAATCTATACCGAGTGTAACGAGCATGAAGAAAAAAATCACCGACCATAGAGGTGATATTGGAAGTCTGGATAGCGCCTCTGGATAAGCAACAAACGCCAGTCCCGGGCCGCTATCTACTACGTCTTTGACTTCAGTGTCGAGTTCGTACGCCATGTTGCCCAATACCGAAAAAATAGCAAAGCCAGCAAATAAACTGGTCAACGCGTTAAGTATTGCTACGAGAACAGCGTCCCTGTAAATGAAACAAGGTACACATTTGTAAAAACAATCACCACAGTTCAAGAGATAGTTGTTTCGTCAAAATAAATTAACACGCGTAATCACCCACAAAATCACGCGTTCTCTAATCAAATCTCAATAATTACTTAATTTGGTGGAAATGTATGGGAAAAACCTAGTTATCTATATGTGCTTACCCGAATACGTTGTTGTGAAATTTATTGTAACTTGCCATAGTGCTGAGTCCACCAGATGCAGCACTGAGAGAGTAAAATACTTGACCCGCCGCGTCCTTCCACACCTGCCAGAACAAACAAACAAACCAAACGTAGTTTTGAAATGAACATTGAGATATCGAATAAAAATATCGTGGGCGTTTGAAACGGAAGACTGCCTATGAAGTTGGCTTTTACATGGGATAAACGTACCTCTGGTTCGGCGAGTTTCGTCCAGTTGGCCCTACCGATGTAGAACTCGATGCCATCACTGGCGCCTTCCAAGGTACAACCACGAATTACCAAGACAAGAATAAGAACATACGGGAATGTTGCTGTAAAGTAAACAACCTAAACAAACAACAAAAACATTAGGCTTTGATTTCGCACAAAATGTATTAATCGCTATTGTTTCCTAGGCAACACACGTTCGTTTGGTATACGTCTAAAGTCAGCTGACAATATGCGACTATATAGAACGTATGCTGCCAGTAGAGCATAATGAGAGAATGATAAAATACACAGATCGTCACAGAAAGCCGGTCATCCATGGCTAAATTATAATGGTAAGGCGAAGGCGAATAAATTATCCTTGGTTAGCGAAGATGGTCAAAGTGGTAACTGAACGTATACGATAATCCATTAAAAACATGTAAAAGTCCCAGTCTGGATAAATTTAAAATGCGATGAATGAAAGCTATCTCGTCTCACCTTGCCCGCTGATTTGATGCCACGAATGATACAGAGATACACGAGAATCCAAGCTAACAGAAGGCAGAGTGATAATTGCCATTTAATGCCACCCATATCGAATACGCCTGTACTAGTTTCTAACACGAAGCCACTAAAAGCAAAAAAGAAGATATGTAAAGAATATCGAAGAATGGACCTTAATACATTAATACGATAGATACGTTTCAGTTGAATACATACCCAAAATATTCGTCTGTCGGCCTGACTGTGTCGTTGGGTAGATTGGCTCGTACAGCGGTAACGTTGACCGTGGAATTAAGATCTCTATCGTCAAAACATTTATCCGAGTTCCATGCATTTCCGCATCCAACCCAGGGCAAGCTGGGCAAGTCGCTGAACGAAGCGAACAAATAGAATAGCGCCCAGGACAGTACAACGTTGTAATATATAGACACAAACGCACTGATGATTACCATAGCCCAACCAATTCCTGTAAAAATAAAAAGGGTTATAAATGAAGCACATATAGCCCGCTATGAATAATGACGTCACGCCGCTTTCTGACTGGGTTTTTATGCTAATTCTATGCTAAACTAAAAACACCTTGAAATCTTAGTAATATGATAAATATACCTCTTTTTCCATTAGAGTTGAAACAAAATTGTTTTAGGGTAGATTTATACCTTCGACTTAAAAATTAGTTACCGTCCGATTGTGATTATTTTGTCGTATTTACATTTACAACTCGTACCAAAACACGTAAATAAATGTCACCGTTCCAAATTTGGTATAACCGCCTAAATCTGGAAAAATACATTATTAAGTCGTTGGCAAAACTAAAAAAAATTATAACCAAAGAAACAGCATAACAGCAAATGTCCCCATAGAAAACGCTAGCGAGTCGCCAATGTGAAGTCGCGCCCCTATAGTCTTATACCGCGCCAGAAAGTTGTGTTGTTCGGCCTTGTTTGAAGGTTTTCTTCAGTTCTTTCACGATGTTATAGTTTACTTTAATATTTCGCAGTTACTCAAATTTTCGGTCTAACACAGAATGGCAAAAGGCTGAATGTAGAACTATACACAGGAAAAATATTGTATTTTCCCAATTTTTACATATTCGATATATCAAGGATGAAAAAATAAAATAAACATTTGTCGTCACCGTACTCTGTTCAGACAGAATCGATCGATCAATAAAATATAGTGAAGGTAATATGTTTTGTCTGTTATAGAGCATTTTATTTGTATTTCCTATGAAAATAATCGGCGACATAAAGTGAAAAACAATATATAAATTGTCTTACAAGAACTTTTTGATGCGAGAAGTATTAAAAAACATAATATTTGTAGGTATGGCATTTTATATGTATTATTGACAGTGAATCAAACAAGTTCGCATACTGTTGACTAATACTAAAACGAATATTTTGACACAAAATAATGTCGCCTGTAATAATAACCCTGTAAAATACTTTTTGATTCTTGTTTTTCTATATTTTGTGTTAAGTAAACTAATATACTACTTTTCTGGCACTTTTGAGTGTGATGAGCCCCCATAAAAATGATTCTGACAGAATAATAAATATTTATTTTGTACATTATTTATACATTAGTTATGTCATTTACATTAACTATTTTTATTTACTTATGCGAGCAATAATTTCATTATTGGCAAATGAAAAAAATCTAGATCCGGCACATATTTTATATTTAAATAATGATATTGATAACAAGCTACATTGTATGGATATGAAATGACATAGTCCCCGTCGTTTTTAATGAAAGATTGTATTTAAATATTTATGTACACTAACTTAACTTACCTTTGAACATCGGCGCCAACTTCCACACGGAGACACTTCCCAGACTGGAAAACTGACCTAGTGCCATTTCCGTGAAGAAAATTGGTATTCCAGCCGCAAAGAACACAATAAAGTAGGGAATCAGGAACGTTGCTACAAAGGAATTAAAGTATCGTGGTATCACATGTTAGAAATTGAAAATATAGAGGCACAAGCTTAAACGTTGTAGGTCGGGAGAATTTTTCATACGGTCATAATATATGATATTTCTTCAAAATGTCTGCCTCGTTATGAATCCCTAAATGTGAAAATTCAAACGTTCATAAGACTGTGTCGTTATAGAGAGAGTAATATCTCACAAGTATTGTTTTGTAGTTTCGTTTATAGTTAACAATGAAGAAATAAGCGCTTTCCTACGAAGACACAAATATGCCCATAACGTACTCACCTCCACCATTTTTAAAACATAAATACGGGAATCGCCACAAGTTACCAAGACCGACAGCGTAACCCAGTGAAGCCAGGATAAACTCCCCTTTCCTCGACCAATTCCCTCTAACTGGGTTTTCATCATTCGGTTTCTTTTTGCTTGAATGTTCCTGTTCCGGGCCATACAGGTCTTGCATTTCAACTGACTGTAATAATCCAGCATCACCCTGTAATTAATTCACACATTCAGAGGTTTATCTTATACTCTGTGCGTAATTAATAAATGTCATATTGAAGTTATATGGTTTCACCTTATTATAACCTTATTATAGTATTATACATATAATTATGCATTTTTACTCTGTATTTCTAAATTGTCGGAAAATTACTTAAAACAGAATTATCTATACGACTTAAATACTTAAAATAAATGTGTGCTTTCATAAAAAAAAATATGCGTATCATACATTATTGGAATTAAATACATTCATTTATAAAGTATGTCATTTGTATTTACATATGCAGGGTTTAATTTCATTATTTCCAAATAAATACTAAGCATTCTAGATGCAGCACATTATTTTTTTTAAATATTTCAATAATATGTGTATCTGATGGCAAGCTACGTCGTATATTAACAAGACATGGCACGACACAGTCTCTGTCGTTTTTACCGATAATGTACAATTCAGTGCATCTGCATATATCTGTACCTGTCTTGTGATACGTGAATGAAAACCCTCCAAATGTATTACATTTTAATAACTCAGGAAAATCGTTTTCTTATGCAACATATTTTAACCAAATAGCTGAAATATAGTTCGATAAATACTTGATATTGTCGCAGTATTATTCTGATTGACACTTATATAACAGACATGATACAAACTGAAGTGACTTGTGCGTTTCCTTCCTTTAGTATACAAAATGGCCATCAGTCTGCCATATGGAACCCGATCCGAAAAATAAAATGATGTGCAACCACAGGGAGCCCAGGAACTATGATCAACTGCACGCACTGCACTCCCTATTAATCTGGAAAAAAACTGACTAACAGAATGAAAAATAAAATCTATAAAATATACCAGGTTGAAGATTTTTAGTTGCTCTTTCAAATTTCGCCAATATTCTACCCTATATCTGCAGAATAAATCAAGAAAACTACACAAATTGACTCCATTTACGAATACTTAACGGTTTGCCCGAACGCACGGGCACAATTGGAGGCGAAGAACCAATCACAAGATTGGTTACGAACCAGTTGAGCAAGGCTAACCTCGATGTTGTTTGTTGACAAATGCTGAACAGGTCACGCCTCCA